TTTAAATTAATTATTAAAGCAGCATTCCTCTCAGAATAAAGAGTGGCTTTAGGGCTTGCTGCCTGAAGTGCATAAGGAGGAGTCATGACTATTATATAAGGCTCCACAATGGATATGGCAACAGCATGGCCCCTCTAGTAGAATTTGCTGCCAGACTCCGCAAGAGAAAGTTTGTAATGTTTCTGAAGCATTTAATGGTTCTAAAGCTCTGATGAACTTTGCCAAGGTAAAGGAAAACTGCTTTTAATTTAACACTGAACTATGTATCATTCTGGGCACTGGGGAGAGGAGGGATGCAAGTACAGGAACTGCTTACACTAACTCTGTTTTCTGTAATAAGGAAGAGTTCTGCAAGTGCACGACAAAGAGGAAGAAGAATCCCAGGCTTGGCCATGTCATGACACAAGTTGTTTTCCGTACGGGTAAAAAGCTGCCAAAGTGGCTTCAACAAGGTAAGGTCACAGTCCCTGAAAAAAGCTAATTCTAATGAAATAGTGAGTAACCGTGACCTTATGCCTCTTTCTGGGAGGGAAAAAACCCAACACAGAACCCCAAACAAATTCAAGAGAACAAAACCATACAGTTTTAACAGATGCATCAATGAAGGAAGAGGCACAAGAATTACTCTAAAATTTAAATTCAGTCCAGTGTTTCAGCACAATTAATTTCATTCTGAATTGGTGAAGTAGAGAAAACCTCACATCTATGAATATGTCCAAATGACTTTGGTAAAACTAAGTGGCCTCCTGAAATGAGGACTTGAAAATACCTGTATCCATCACTTTGCAAAATGCTGTAGCTCCATTGATTGAAATTAACCAGTACTGCACTACAGCACTAAGCAGGTGATGCCCTTCCACAGGGCAGACAAAAACTCATCTATAGCTTTCAAAACAATTCCAACCCTGCCTCCTTCTTACTCCTGAGTTAAGGCCAACTAACTACACAGAGAGGATGACAAATATTGGGGGGGAGGGAGGGAAAAGGGGAAACTCAATTTCAGAATGTATCATCAGATTAACGCAAGGAAAATACTAAATAATACAAGCACAATGGAGACTTGGCCTTTCAGCAATTAAATCTGGTGTCCACATGACAAAAGATGACATTTGCTGATGAAAACAGCTAAGGGAACTTGAAAAAGTAATAAACCATAAGTAATTATTACCATAAGTAATAAGACCATAAGAAAAGCACAGTTTCATTCACCGCCCAAAACCAAACCAATACAGATGCGGTCAGAAAGTGAACCAGTGTGAAACACCCCTGTGACTGCCATGGCACAACGCAGAGCCAGCACAGACCCTGCACCACAGAACAGCCAGGGCAGCCTCACCAGCCCATCTCAGGCCCCTCTGTGGCAAAGCAACACCTGAGCTGCCTGGGGGGACTTGGTGCACCCTTCCATAGGGGCAGCAGCCCCTCCAACCTAAGCAGCAGGGGACTTGCTGCAGACAAGAACACTTCCCTCCCCACTGCCCACTTCTAGACAGCCCTGTCTCCAGCAGCCTACTCCACGCCTGCCAGAACCACCAGTCCCCTCAACTGCCTGCAGGCAGGCAGAACAATGAGACTTCTGGATCAAACACAGACACTAGTAACTAAATAAATGAATAAACAAGAAATCTAAGGTTGTAACAGTGCTGCGGCTGCTCTGCAGCACACTGCAGGGTCCCTGCCACATTGCAGCCTTCAGAGTTGAAGCTGAAAAGATGTTTTGAACAAGCCCCCTATAATCTCTCCACTGGTCCCAGCAGCACCACGATGCACACAAAGAGGAGACCAAAGTCACTGCCACTCCTTGCCAAGCCTTCACTTTGCTCCTTCGCACTACGAATGTAATGAATGGCTCTTTATTTTATAGCTGTACTAATGCCAGTGCAAAAAAAACCAATGACTGTGGGCAAACACATCACCAGTCACTGACAAAAGCTCAGACCAATCTAGGGAAGCAAAGGTGTTGGGATCCCACAGCTGCTGGACTCACACAGGACACAGTTAGAAAATCAGAGCCCAGCTCTGAAGCAAGCTGCCTCCAGCGCAATAGCAGAACTGTGGTCTCAGCAGTATCAGGAGAGATTCTATTGATTTAGCAAGCAAGAAAAATTCAACACATTCTCATCCTAAGAAATAAAAGAAATTAAACTAAACTGCCTTCTGTCTCCAACTGAACAGAAGCCCCCATCACCCTTCTCCTGGCTCTGCCACTCGGAACTGAGGCTTCTGAACTGCAGGGCCCTCAATCCAGCTCTACTCAAGCTTGCCCTCCTTTGTTTTGAAAAGGCCATTAAGTTCTCTACAGCTTGTTGGAAGGCCACTCATCTGATCAGCAGTGGATTCGTAAAGTTCATTTGAACTACCTTCTTCTCTGCAAATAAAGTTTCAGTAACAAAATCAGAGTCTGAAACAGAAGTAAAAGCAGGGGCAAAGCTGATCTTTAAGTAGTCTTAGAGGAACACACACCCTAAAGGAGCTAAAGGCATGTGGGACTATCATCTTCTCTCCCAAGCTGCTTAGCAGCTACATTAAACCCTTTGAACTCTGATACACTCACCACACTCAGAGTGCATCACACTCGGGTGTATTACCCAGCTGCAGGTTCCTCCCTGAAATGATCTGGTACCAATGGCCCCTGCCTAAGCCCTCTCCTGCCCCTGCTCAGAGCCTGCCATGACTGAGGGTCCGCAGCAGTACCTCTAACAAAGAACACTGTCTGTCACTTGGCCTGCTAAACGTCCACCACTAAGACTTCAAAGCCTGGGCCACCATCTGCTCTTCGCAGAACCTCACCTTCTGCTCTCTTAGTGCCACTCTCTTCTGTTGAGAGAGCTTTTTGGAAAGATTGCATCTCACCTGCACATCCACAGCACCTGCCAAAATGCAGTCCCCATCCCATGCCAAGCCTCTGCAACCCAACAGCAAGAGAGGGATGTCAGAAGAGCACCTCTGACACACAAACAAGGACAGGTGAAGACTGGGCCTGCTTTGGCAACACAAGTATCAGCAAAGGAAGCAAAACTGTGGCTCACCTTGTAACAGGAAAGAAAAAGCAGCTCCCACTCTCCAAAGCTGCTCTTCACACAGAGCAGGGGGACACTGGACAAGGTGAGTCTGAACTGCACTGACCACTGCAAGCAAGAACCTGGAGAGCTGCTGCAGCTGCAGGCCCAGCCTGCGGGGCTTGTCCCACAGAACACCAGTGCAGCCAAACACAAGGTCCAGCCTGAGCTTACCTTTAAACTAACTTTGCTTTCTTCTGCCCTTATTTAGCAGGGACTCCCAAGTCCTACCCAGAAAAGGCAAGCCTCAAGAGCTCTTGTAATGTTATTTATGAATTATAATCCTTTTCAATGGACAAGATTTAGAGAAGAAAGATTTGAAGGAAAGGGACAAGTGTCCCTCTGACAAATCCATATTTAAGGAAGTTTTTTTTCTGAACCATAGCAGCAGAGGTCAAAGCCCAGCCCAGCCCAGCCAAATGAGCTGCTGCAGATGAAAGCACAGTGCTCCTACGGGAATCTTCCACACCTTAAAAAGTTCCAGGAAGTTTTTGGAGAGCTCTAAACCCCTGTATCAATTTTAGTTGATTTTAAATCTGACCGTTAAGTACCCCAGCCTCATGCAGGTAGCTTAAAATACAGCTAACAATTCTTGGGCACTCCAACAAGTTTCTGCCTGCAACTCAAAATTGCAGACAACCCTTTTTCTGTAAGCCTTATACCTTCAGCACCTTGTATCTTAACACTCAGTGCCTCATTTCAAATAGGACTTCACCAGAAGTTTCTTCATCCAGTGTCAGCATTGTTTGGTCTTCCACAGCCCTCACATGCTCACAAAGGAGGTGATGGGCACTCCCAGGGCCATTGAACTCCCTTTCAGGGGAGAGTGCCAAAGGGGATGAGGAAACATCCCCCCTGGCAAATGCACACAGAAGGAAACAAACTTCTTGACCATGTATTGTTTCCTGTAAACCCCATCTCAGTCTTGCTCTCTGTCTCTCTCACACACACACACCCCTTTTTCTTTACATTGCAAAAGTGACTCTCAGCATCATTACATTTTCCTTTGGGAAACCAAGAACATTAACCTCAAAACTGTGTCCAGAGAATACGACCATTTGGTTGCTTCCCAGCCCAGCAACAGAAAACTAGGGTATTACCATCACTAGTACTCATGCCTGCAGTTTAGAAATACAAAGGTTAATAAAGCCATTTCATTCCCTGGAAACAAGTCTAGATTGAGCTGTCTTTCCAGTCTACAAGGGAGCCTCCAGTCTCCAGGGGGCCTACAAGGATGCTGGAGGGGGACTCTTCACTAGGGACTGGAGTGATAGGACAAGGGGTAACGGCTTAAAACTTAAACAGGGGAAGTTGAGATTGGACAGAAGGTAGAAGTTCCTTACTTTTGCACAGATCCAACACGCGCAAATCTCTCGAGCTACAAAGCTCCGTGGCAAGGGCCAAATCACCTCCAAGGGCTTGCTGCTGAGCACAACCCTTGCTCGTACGCATGAGCTGCCACTCTGCTTACGAGAGCTCTGATCCAGTTTCAAGGCCACACCGAAACCTCGATTCAGGTCACAACCTTGACGGGAAGCCCCTCACCAGCAACACTGAACCTCCCAAAGAGCAGAGCTGGGAGCGCTGCGGCTCTGCGGCAGCCCCAGCGAACCCCTCCAGGGGCGCTCCGGGAACCTGCAGCACCCCGGGAACCCCGCTCCGCCCCCCCTCCCCGGGCAACCCCTGCAATTCCCCATGGAACACCCCCACCTCCCCCGGGCCTCACCGCCCATGCAGCCGCCCCCCCGCCCCTCACCCCTGGGCCTGCCCTACCCCTGCCCCTCCGCACGCACCATTGACTCCTGCTCCGAGATCGCCCGACCCACGGAACCACGGCACATCCTCACACAAACCTCTCGTCCCCTTGCCCCGAAACCACCTCACGCCTCTGACCCCGCACCCGGCCAGCACCCCCCACGACATCCTCCCCGCTGCACTTACCTTCCATACACGCCCGAGCTCCTGCCCGGCCAACCCCGGCTCCGCCGTTCCCGCACGGACACGGCCCCGCTCCCTCGCACCGACACCCGACACCCGACACCCGACACCCGACACCCGACACCCGACACCCGACACCCGACACCCGACACCCGCCCCCCTCCGCTCCGGCCACAGCGCAACACCCGCTCCCGCGGCCCGCACCGCCGGAGAGCTCCCGCCTCGCTCGGCCCAGGGGACGCCGGCCCCGGCCACAGCGCGCTCTTTCCCTCCGGAGGGACTTTGCCAAGCGAACGGGAGGCGGGCAATGCGCAGGGACGGACACGGAGGAGTCAGCCAATGACAGCACAGCGCTCAGCGCTCCGGGCCAATGGACAAACAGCGCGGGGCGGCTCGGAGCGCAGCTGCCCGCCCACCCGCCCACTTGTGTGGCAGCCGCGACCGCGGCCATTTTAGCCCGCACGGCCGGGATCCCCCTCCCTGAGGGGGCCGTGGTGCGAGCGCGGCGCGGCGGGAAGCGCTTCGAGATCGCCGCTCTCAAGGCGCAGCCAAGTCCTGGGGAGGCGCAGCGGGAGGGAGGGAGGGAGGGAGGGAGGGAGGGAGGGAGGGAGGGAGGGAGGGAGGGAGGGAGGGAGGGAGTGACTGACTGACTGAGTGACTGAGTGACAGCTGGCGCTGTCAGGGCCGGGTGCGGCTCCGATCTGTGCTCGGAGGCCCGTGGGGGATCCGGTGTGAAGACGTGGCTGTGCCGGAGGCAGCGCCGTGTGGGAGCGGTTGTGGAGCCGAGGCAAGGCCCGAGGTGCGGGGAGACGGTGGGAGGCGGGCCCGGACTGATGGGGGCAAGAAACCCTGCTGGGAGGCAGCGCCCGAGATGGAACGGGGGGTATCCAATTGTTCCTCCTGGAACAGTTGCACAGGCAAGGCTGGATGAATGGTTGTGCATCTCTGCCCTCGGTACGCTCTGGTTTTGGTAGTGTTGTTCTGCTGTTCTCTTCTTGTTAGGCTGTTGTTGCTGTCTTGTTGCTGCTCTCTTCTACTGCAGTTGTCATCTTGGGATTTTACTACCATTTTAGTATCGCTTTGCTGCGAAGGTGCAGTCTTCCCTCGCTCACCTTCCCACTTTTTATGTCCCCCACGTCAAATAAACAGTCTGTGTTCACATCTGCCTTCCCCGTGTTTGGTTCCTGGGCCAGAGCGCAGGGTGCAGCCTTGTTCCCCTGCGGTGCTGTGGAACAGCAGGACAGGGTGGGTCCCTGTGAGGAGCAGCGGCTCCCACCCGGGATCCCCGGCTGCTGCCCTGAGCTGCCCGAGCCCGGGCCCTGGGGAGGGGAGGGGAGCAGTGCAGCTCCTCTACCTGGAGCCACGCTCAGGCTGCTGCGGTGACTCAAGGCTGTTGCCCTGAGCTCTGCTGTTTGGCAAAGACGGCAAAGAAACACAGCAGGGATGCTTGTGGGAGTCCTTGGCGTTTTGGGTCTCGTCCTGCTCCCAGGGCAGGGGGCCGACCCTAACTGGCTCTCTCCTGCTTGCACAGGGAACGGGAGGTGCGACGATGGAGCCGTGAGCCAGTGACAGCGACCAGGGCCGTGCAGATGGAGGAAGATGAGTGCAGGTGGGGCCCAGCTCTGTGCCAGGGTTGGGTGGGCCACTGGTGCAGGCCAGCTGTGGGACACGAGGTAGCTCAGGTCTGCAGGTGGGATGAGCTTGAGGTGTCCCTGGAAACTAGGAACGTGCTGGTGCTGAGGCAGTGGCGTTTTCTCCCGTGTGCCCATTGTGGCTAGGGTCCTGTGGCACAGTGCAAGATGTGGCCACGTCTGGCAGTTTGTGTGGTCTGTGGTTCGGGTGGGCAGCGGGCAAGGAGTGTCTGTGGAGGTGGGATGGGGCCGCTGGCCCGTGGAGCCCCAGCAGGCTCTTGTGACAGCTTCCCCGTGGATCTCTGGTGGCCAGCTGCTGCCCCAGGGCATCGCAGCCTTGTCCGCGGCTGAAATCCGTGTCCCTGGTTCTGCCCTCCAAGAAGGGGATCCAGAGAGTAGTGAGAAGGGACAACCCCCTTGGTATAGGCCAAACGCCCCTGCTGGGATCTGCTCCTGACTTGTCTCCTCCTGTAGCTGTCGAGAGGGCTGAGGAGAAGCGGCACCAGACCCCGAGCCCACCACCATCGCAGGGAAACGGAAGGCCACACAGGAGGAGCATCTGCCTGCTGGTGCCCTGGGGTAATGAACCACTGGTGCTGGTACGTCGCTGTCTCGCAGCCTCTTTTGCCGTCGTCTGGGGACGGAATGTGCCCAGTGCAATTTGTGCAGGGCTGGGGGCAGGCTGACCTGCCTGCCTTGGGGCAGGAGGTCTCATCCTCGGCTGAGTGGGAAGTGATGCTCTCCCCTGCCCCAGTGTGTGGTGGGCTGTGCGTGACTGTGCTGCCCGCTGCCAGAGCAGGTGCGGCTTCCCGCCTCTGGCACCAGCCTGCTTCCACACCTCCTTCAGAGTGGCTCTGCCGGCTTCCCTGAGAAGGAACTAAGCTACTGCTCTCTTGGCAGCCTCCTGGGCCTGATTCCGGCTACCCCATCATGGCAGAGATCATAAGAGGCGAAGAGGAAGGCAGCGCAGCAGCGGTTGCATAAGGCGGGTAAGGGCAGAGTGGGAATGTGAAGGCACGGCAAGGAGGAGACGGCCATGGCGCGGGCTGGCAGGGCAGTGGGGTGTCCATGCAGGGCAGGCTAAGGAACCTCCTGGGCCAGTGCTGCCTGGTCCTCGGGTCTGAAACTCCTAGAGCCTGGTGAAGACTCTGGTGGGAGAGCTCGTGCCCCACAGTCGCCAGGGTGATGGGCAAGGATCCCCAGGGCCAGATCTGTGAGCTGTTCCTGTTGGGAGGCTCTGCTGAGGGGTAGTCCCATACAGCAAGTTGTGGGTCCTGATTTCCTCCTCCCTCCCAGCAGATGAGGTCCCCAGCACCAGTGGGGAAGGTATGTCCCTGGGCACAGCCAACGCCCAGGGCTCCTCGGGCACCAGCCGCACAGGGGCAGCGTCCGCGACCACAACATCGGTGGTTTCTGGGCCTGCCAATTCCAGCACCAGCTGTCTCACTGACACCAGCCAGCCCAGAAGTGGCAGCGCGCCCGTGCTGGGAGGTGAGTCGGGGCGGACGGGGCTTCTGCGGGGGTGAAGGGCAGGGTTAGATTTAGGCAGCTGCTTTCCTGCCAGACCTGGCTGTGCTGCCTGGGCTCGGCAGCCCTGAGGGGCTGGTGCTGGGACTGTGCAGAGCCTTGCCATGCGAAGGCAAGTTGCTTCCCTCACTCGCTGCCCCAGTCCCCAGTCCCTGGGGTTGGAGGGGAATCTGAAATGTTGCTCCTTGCCCCCTCTGGATGCAGTGGATGCATCGGCTCCTGCGAGTGCCTCCAGCTCCCTAAAGCCAGGCTCTTCCTCCTTTGCTGAGCCCGGCTCACAGTGGCGTGTTTCTTTCCAGGAACTCCTGCACCCTTCTTTGGCCAGCGCCCCTCAGGCCTTGGAGAAGGCGTTGGTAGTGAGGGAGTTGGTGCTTCAGCCTCGAAGAGCTGTCGTGTTGTCCCCTTGGGCTGGGGGATGGCGGAAGGGCCAGGCTGTGCTGTAGCAGCCGGCTCGGGTGGTGGCTGCCTGGCTCTGGGGATATAAAACCTTCCATTCCCCCTGGGATAGGGATTGTGGTAGCCCCGGTGCCAGCTGAGAGTGCGGCTGCAGAGACCTGAGCAAAACTTTGTGCTTCCAGGTTCATCCACCCCTGCCTCTTCAACGCAGGCAAGATCCAGGACCCAAGGAACGCACAAGCGGCTAAAGGCACACATCCATCTTTCCCATGATAAGTAACGGCCAGTGCTGCTGGCCCCCCCACCTGCGGGGCTCTGGTCCAGAGCAGGCCCGAGGCAGGACCAGAGTGATGGGGTCAGGCCCCTTCTCTGCTGGCAGCAAGAAACCGTGCTGGGTGGCAGCACCCAGGGTGGCATGGGGTGAACCAAACTCTTCCTACTGGAAGAGTTCCACCCCCAAGGCTGGATGGACATCTCTGCATCTCTGCAGCCTCACCTTCCTGGCTTTATTTTGCTGTTTTTCCTAAGGTTCAAACCTTTGTTCCAGCCCTGGCACTCCCTCCGCTCCCTTCTCTTCCCCTCTCTGCTGGTGCCCCTCCCCATGTTTGGGTGCTCTGGAGCCGGCTGGGGAGTCCAGAGAGGATGGGGATCCTCCCCAAATCCAGATTGTTTTCCATCTTTGGTCCATCCCCACCCATTTGGGGTTTACCAACTCCCAGGAGCTGCGCTGCTGTGTCCCCTGGGGCCGTTCAGTGGGAGAGGGGCAGAGGCTGCCAGAGCCAGGGGTCATCAGGGATCTGCTCCTCCCCGCCCGCAGTGTCCCCACCACCCGCAGGAGGGCTTTGCTGCTGGCTCCTTTACTCACTGAGCTGTGTGAGTGTGTGTGTCTGGTGGAGTCTAAATTACAGAAACCCCACAAACATTAATATGCTCTTTAATGGAATACCACTTTGGTTTTCTATCTGAGCTCTTACAGCAGCTCCCTGCTCCTAAATTGTGATGCATGTAAATGTGACTAAACCTGTCCTGTTTGGTTTTTGTTCTTCTCCAAGGAGGAGGACCACGCCGACGCCAAGTGGCTTTTTGGGCCATCAGCGGCAAAACATCACTGGCTGTGATGCTCGAAGGTGACACCAGCAGTGGCCAAAGGAGGCAGGCCAGCAGCAGGGCCACTCGCTGACCCTGCTGGATCAGAAGGCTCCACTTATCACCCAGAAACCTTCCTCTAGATCTCATTAAACACTTGAACATCCCAGGAAGCTTCTGGCGTTGTTGTCCAAGTTTCCAGGTGAGGACGAAGCAGCGGCAAATACGGTGCAGAGCCCATGGTGACAGTCCCCAGCCACGCCCTGTGACGGCCCCCAGCCACGCCCTGTGACGGCCCCCAGCCACGCCCTGTGACGTTGCTGATGGCACTGCTTCTATTCCACCCAGTGACTTCCACAGGGCACTTGCTGTGGGAGACGACTCTGAGGAGGTCTCAGAGGAGCCCGTGCAGCAGCATCACTCAGCGCCCGAGAGGAAG